CTCTATTGAATGCCATCTCATTGCCATAGCTATTTCTTCACACATGAACAACCTTTAAAGCCTAGGTGTCAAAGAGAAGTATCTTAACACCTTAGTCGGGATTCGGTAAGTACTAGATGAATGGCCATTGATATCTCCTTGAAAATTATCATCCAATATATACCTAGATGCACCACAAACATGACAAAAAGTAGCATTTTCATGCTCATTCCAAAATAACATGTAGTCATTTGGGCATGCATGAATTTTTTGATAATCAAGACCTAAATCTCTAACTGTTTTTCTTCCTTTGTTGAAAGGTTCCAAAAGTTTTGCTTCGTAAAAAGCCCTCTTTCAGTAACTCTAAAAGATCACCAAATGCAACATTACGAAGTCCATAGAGGCACTTAAAAAGATATAACCGAATGGTGAAAGAAAGTTTTGAGAAATTCTTACACCCCGTATACAACTCTTGTTTTCCTTCCTCCACCAACTTATAAAATTTCTCAAACTCCTTGGGAGTTGGCAACTTCTTCAATAATATTTTAATAAACATCATGCAACATTTCATCCATGTTATCAACATTTTCTAGTCCCACATCATCAAAGGGAGAATCTCCACTATGCATTCTTGATGATAACCCCTCTCTATGGAAAACCCATTCATTATACCTTTTAAGAAACCCATTTGTAATTAAATGATCACGAAAATTCATTCTATACTCCCAATAATGATTGCAGCACCATTTGCAAGTGCAAAGAATCTCTTCCCTCGAGCTACTTTCTAAAATGCCTTATCCAAAAAATTATCAACTCCATTTATATATGCTTCACTAATTCTTGGAAGAGTCATCCAAATTTTATCCATAACTTAAAGTTTATAACATAATCAATTATTAGTACAAATTAGAATCGCATAACGCACAAAAAGGATAGTAATAAGAAACCTTTCAAGTCCTAATCGCACATTTCTTTAAGAAAATTCAATCACAAAAAAGGATAGTAATAAGGAATTAGTCTCGGACTTATTGGCTCCTCCATTATCATAATCATGAATCTTTTCCTAATTTGTGCCTTCAAAAAGTACACATGGACTAGATTAGTGAGATCCACCATTAAATTCTATTTAGATCATGATCTAATTCCCGGACATGGATTGAAATCATATTAGCTCAATTAAAGAAAAAAAAGTCGAATTGATTGCCAAATCTTAGTGAAGTAGAAAATTGTAACTTTTTCATTATTCATTTATTACAAGTACAAGATTTAATCTCTTATTTAATTACAAAAACCGAGACAATTTGCAACACTGGAAGGAATAAAAAAGGATAAAAATGCACAACCTAGTTTGTTCGAACCTCATTTTTCTAAAGGCCCGAAGAGTCAAATAGGAAACTCCTACGTAATTGCTAAAGCTACTCGTTTCTAGTTTCTTATGTACCCTTCCTTCACGTCTAAAGGACTTTTTTCCTTACTCCATAATTCACAAAACCTCCATAGTTCTTAACTCTATGATGGTACTTATAACTGCTATTACATAACAATAATCGATAACCCTCGATGCTACAACTCTATTCTATTGTTAGTTCGCTCTCCGAGCCTTACGGCAAACTCTTCTTTATGTTATCATAAGCTTAGGAAGTGTCAACATATACAACATAATCATTGGCAAAGATTTATTCTATCGGACATTCCGAAGATACTATGAGAACAAATCCACTTAGCATTCTAATCAATATCTCAAGAATATTTAAGCAATTAAAATATTAAGCTAGTACTTTTTTCTTTTTTTTTGGACTTTAGGCAAAATATACGCAAAAACAGGAACATAAAGCCCATAAACATGAAAACTCGGATCAGCCCATAAGTCTAAAATATGGACAAGGGTTTTAGATTGATTTAAAGACCATAGATCCTAGCTTCGTAACTAATAAACGGACACTACCCTTTCTTTCTATCCGTGGCTCTCTTTCCTCATCTACTCCATTTCTTTTAAAATTCTTCATCTTACCCTCCTCATTTCCTTCCTTCTTAAAATAAAACAACATACCCACTTTCACTCTTTTTGAAATTTTATCATATAGGAGGAGAAAAATCTATGTCCGCCTCTCAATAACTTCATGTATTATAGTTGCTCATTACGGAGGCCTACATAGGCAAAAGATCATCAAATCAAAGAAGCAATACAGAGTTCACAAAATATTCAAATCGGAGAACATCTATAAAAGAAAATGACTAAAATAAAATTTTATTTGACATTATAAAACTTACAAAAATTAAGCCTTTAATCCTCAATTGCTTTTTCTCAACAAGGCAAATCTAAACGCAAGATTTCTATACCCATATAATTAGAAAGAAAAGAAATAATCAGCTAAAATTTCAACACCCCATTAACAAACAACACAAATCAAGTAGACCCAAAAGAGAAAATCATGAAAATATATGAAAACCCATTTGTGAAAAAGAGAAATTCAATAAAAACAGCTTACTAACACTTGAAAATCAAGTCCTAAAGCAAAGAAAATTAATAAGTAAGAAGAGAAATCCAATACCCGAGTCCTAAAGAGATGAATTTAAAAAAATCACATACAATATAAAGACCTAAGGAGATAAATTGAACGAAAATTCCATACCTAAAAGAAGATAGAACTTCACCCAATTTTGCCTAATCCTTCAATAAAAAACTACTCGATTGCTAAGACTTCAATCTAAACTACCATTTAACCGATACATTGACAAGTATGTTTTGAATCTAAAGAGAAAGCGAGATAGAAAAAGAAAGAGATAGAGACAAAGACAAAGATTTTTAATATGTGGTACATAAAGGATGTGGAGCATTTTAAGTACATGTTTTCATGTGTATAAAATGTTTGAGGCGAGTGTTAGATATATCAAGTTCCTTACCATGTCTTACTTGTAATTGATCATAATCACCATAAGGATTTGAATAAGTCATATATGTGAGGTAAGGAGTGATATAATGAGTGGTACCAATGTTCGAAACCATTGAGCTGAGGGAGCCAAATTAGAGTACAAGGCTACATGAGTCGTTGAGTGGAGAAGTTACTAATAACCTTGTAACCATAATTAAGTAATGTGATTTCATCCATTGCATCATTGGCAATAATTTTTTTGGCCAAGTAGAGGATTGGACCATTGAGACCGATTATAGGACAATGTTTGGAGTGAATTAGCCTACCGTCAAGAGTTGGAACCACCACCTCTATATCTCTAGCATTCTCAATTTTGAACCTTGTTGCCATGGTAAAAAGAGAGCTATTATTGCTAGTTTTTGTACTACTCATAGTGTTATTGTTGCTACCATAAGGTAATGGTGGATAGATTAGCCCGAGATAAGAGCATGAGTATCTTATCCGGATGATGAAGCCAACAAGTAAAACGCATCCGATTGAGGAAGTCATGGCTCAACAAGTTGTTCAATTTTATAAAGGAAACAAGTTCGGCTATAATGCATAAAGTGGTCACAATATTTGTGAATTCTCTAAGCATTTCCTTAAAAATATATAAATTGAAATCTAAAACAAATGGTGGTCTAACTACTACGACCAATTCATCATTAATTTGCTTTGTTTTTTACAAATAAACATATATATGGTTATCATTATGTTTGAATTCTTGAAGTGACATATGAAGTTTCATAATTCTAGTATTCGAAGAAGATGCTAATTCAAGCTCTAGAGTAAAACCAAAAACTACAAGAGAATATGTAATTAAGAATTAAATAAAATACATTAAAAGACAAAGAGGCAATCAAAGTGCTCATCAATAGTTGATCATATTGAATCCGGACACATAAAGCCAAATTAGGTTTCAAAAAAGACGCATGTTCACTAATTTGATGAAATGGTAGACATGGTCTAAATCCATCAATGAAACCAAATAATCCTTGATCTTGTAGGAAGAGTTTCATCTGAAATTTTCAATATAAATATTTTGTTGTAGTTAATTTCATTAAGATATAATGATGGGCATTGGCAAGAGGAATGGCATGAGCAAATAAAGGAGGAGGTTGTTTCTACATGGCTTTCAAAGGAGAGGTTGCCAACTCTTGCAAAACTCTTAAAAATAAGGTTGTCGAAATAGTTTTTGCTAGGTCCGAAACCACTAGAACAGTAGTAGTTATGACAAATTGTTGTTTGTTTGGTGTTGTCGTAATATTCTCTCCATTTAGTGCCGAGATTGCAATAGAGTTCATTACATGGGATTGATCGGCTTTCATGAGGCAATTATGCAATTGTGTTGATACCAAGTTGAGAAAAAGAATACAAAGAAAAAATATGAAAAATACTCTTGTGCTTACATAACTCTAAATAGTGGTATCGTATTGTATTTTTATCGACTTCCAAGAGACAATTATGCAATTGCGTTGATATTAAGTTGAGAAAAATAATACAAAGAAGAAATATAAAAAACACTCTTACGATTGCATAACTCTAAACGAGTGATATCGTATTGTATCTATACGTAAAATTTTGTATAATATACAAAATATCCCGGTGCCTAATATAGAAAATATAAGAAATTTCAGAAGTAACTATATATATATATAGGAAACTAACCATTATTACTTGATTAAAAATAAAAATAAAACAAATTAATGTGCTGTCATAATATAAGCAATTTTATTGTCCAGAAATCTAAAATCAAACAAAAGAAATTGAAGGAAACAAGAGAATGGGAAACAAAACTGTAGGGCTTAATTAAATCTAAGCAATGTCCAAAGCCAAATCGACCAATGTACTTAATTTAATTTATTAATTGATCTTTCGTTGGCCTCTTGGATGCTTCATAATGCAAATTCACCCCTAAAATCACTATGCTCAAAATCGGATCGAAATGGAAAACATCCATCATTGAAGTCGAGCTCTAACCGCACACTATCACTACTTCCATGGTTGAAGTTAAAAAATGTGACGCAGTAACTGTTATCTTTCATTAATGCAATGTCAGCATCGCAGAAGGCAACTGGGCTTGTACAGCCTTCCTTTCTTCTTAAAGCTTCAAGGCTTATTGTATTCCTTTTGTTCCATTCTCTTTTGGCATAAGTCTCCATGACCCACAACTCCAAGAAACTCTCCTCTACTCACGCAGATTAGACCAAGCTTTCCCTCATATTCGACCAGTTCAATGTCTTTATCCTTAACCGGTAGAGGAAGCGAAAACATGCTATACCTCTCTTCCTTTACATGAAATGCAAATACGTTATTCTCCCATGTGAGCCAATCAAGTGAGCCACATGCAGATATGCTACGCATACAAGAAGTTACTAATAAACCGGGTTTCGGCAATTTTACCTCCTGCAACTGCTTCCATGTCCAGGTCTTTGGATCAAAGAACTCACATCTAGCACGGTTATAATGATTCAAGTCCCTGCCATGGTGAGACCTAGGCTGTGAGAATCTCACTATCTAGTAATGCAATGGGTTTGATCTTATCACAGTCAACCCAGTTGCTAAAGTCTCGAACCGACTCTTGGATTTGGGATTTTTTGCCATTGATTTGTAGTAGGCTTGCACACATAATATCGCGGAATTCGATCATCAAGACAAATCAAAATCACTTGGTTTGTTGATGCCACAATCTTGACACGAGCAGATAAAAAATCAAGGGACACTTTAGAATAGAAATTCGAATTGTCAATGGATACAAAGAATGAAGAAAATTTGATGCTAATCATGTTTTGTATGAAATAGCCAGATATCATATTGCTTCTTTTGCAATGGAGATTGATGAAAGTAGAATCAAAGGTGAGACTGTTATATTGTTAGGAAAGAAGCCTACATCTCCCTACGGCTTCCATTGATGAACGGCTTAAAATCTGAGAGATTATATCTGAACAAAGATCAGAAGTGGCGTCCATGACAGATATGGCTGTCCGTCCACAAAATCTAGAACTCGTACATAGGTGGTGCAACTATAGTTTTGCGGGATCTGTTACATAGCTGACGGGTAAAAAAAATTGCCATCTAAAGACAATCAATTGGCATTGAAGTAGGAAAGGAAGTTGGTAAGGATTTAAAAAAGAGAAAGTACAGCTGCTGTTGGAAGAATCTAATAGTCAATTTCAGGTTAAAATTAGAGCAGTTTTAAAGCTAAAAAAAGAAAAAAACTGGGGAGCCAAGGGATTAATTTAAAAATCCTTTCTTCGCCTACAAGGACAGAATATTATTACACCTAACCAGGCCTCGATAGAATAGAAAGGGTGAGAGAGAGAGAGAAGAGAGAGAGAATACAGTAATTATGTTCTTCCTCCTCTCCCCGCTACCCTGTGCAAGCAAAGCAATCAATGCCAAAACATTGAACAATTGACTAGAAATAATTCTCTCATTAATTTAGTGAAACATTGAACAACTGGTAGAGTTGGAGCCTCCTTGTAAACGGAAAATTAAAGGGAAAATTGCTGGCTTGCTGAGAAGTTGATTTTGTAAACCCTGAAAGCTGGATCTTCTTCCTTTTCAGAGTGTTTATTTCTATTTTTTTAAAAAAAAAAATGCACTTAAAAATGAGATTCGTTGTGTCTTCAATTCATGCTTTGTTTGCTCAGGAGTTGACAGTGGGATAAGAATTCTCGTTTAATTCTATAATCGCGCATTGAATAAATTAGATCACTCCACTCCGATCTATCATGGAAAGCAAACTATAGTGCAGACACGTTGAATTTCAAGTGAAACAAATAGGTAAAGGATAATGTTAATCCTTCAGATTGAAAATCTATTATCGTTTTTTTTTTTTTCAGTTCTCATCACGTCCCAATTCTTTGAGCTCAATATCATTGCGGACAGAGGCTGAGCTTCGATTAATAACAATCTAAACCCACAGAGATGGTAGAACAAAGCATAAGAGTTGAAAAGCAGCCACACTCTTGCTTGACTAAAATTTGAAACGCTAAGTGGATAATTAGAACATTCTGCCTTTATAACAGAGGATGGGATTTCCTACTGGTGGGAAATTACATAGATCCCAATACAGTATCAAGTATCAACAGTGAATTCTTTCACAGCCTGCAAGCTACCAAATACTCTAAAATACACAAATAACAAGTCCACAAAAACAAAGTACTGAATACATACATGCTGTAACAACATGGCACAACATAGAAAATCTGACTAGCTAAAGGTTAGCTGAGTTGAGCACGAGAGAAGTGCAGAGGTGAGAAGCCACCCCCTATATTAATGTCAAGGTCTAGCTCTCTTGTTGCTGCATGATGGGCATTTGTACTGCTTGATGTGCTCAGCCCTGGCAGGAGTGATCTTCACGCACTTGCCATGGAACCACTTTTCACACACGTCGCAACAAATCCAGAACTCATCTGCAGCATAGTTCTCTCCACATGCCCCGCACAAGGTATCCCCATGCTCATCATCCTCCTCCTCATCCAGTCCTTCCTCCTCATCCTTTGGCTGCCCCTTCGAATACTTGACAGATTCTGGTCCTCGCTATTTTCATATTCATCAAATTAGTACGAAATAATCACCAGAATTAGCATGTAACATCACATCACATCATGACATCAATAATCATAATGGAAAAGATGATTTTGTCAGTAAGAACAACAGAAATAGTATGTGTTATAATGGGGAAGTGATTACATCGAATCATGGCCCCAGGATTTGGTCACAACTTGTCAACAATCAAATCATTTCCTTTAACATCTTAATCGTTAACTCAGACAAAACAGACGTGGTACTCTTACAACCTATGACCCATGAATCTTCAACTCCTTCATACCATTGCTCACCACGAATAGGAACTGACATTTTTCATATGCACAAAGCTTCTGGACAAATTAGGATTAGAAAGCAAGTTTTGAATGAAAAGGGACAAACCCTTGTATATCATGGTATACCTATATTTTGGCAAGGATTGACAAAAGTAGTGAAAAGGTGATTAAGCCAAGAAACATAATACACTGAGGCAGAACTAGGATTTTAGGTTTGGGGTGTCAATATAAAATATATCAGGATAAATTTGAAAATAAAATAAACAAATAATGGTTAAGAATAATAAATAATTTTGTAGATGGTGGGCAGAATGCATATATTTTATGAAACACTCCTTAATTTCAAGTAAGTACTTAAAAAACTCAAAACTTTTAGGATTTCTAAAATGAAAACTTTGTCAAATGTTAGGGGTGCCATGGTCCCGCACCAGCTACTACTGTAGTCTGCCCCTGAATGCACAAATCCAAACCTGATGACAGTGTGAACATAAAATCTAAGAATGAGAACAAAATGCCTATTCACCAGAAAAGGAAGGAAGAAAAAAAAAAGGCCATGCCTGAAAAAACAAAGAAACAGATAACAACCATAGCAAAGAAATCAGTACAGTACACTGTTGGTCGTAGTTAAACTGAACCATTTAAATTTCATAATTGAGTTCTTGAAAAATGTTATGTTGGGAACCAAAGATAAAAATTTTAATTATATCCACTTATCAGAGACTAAAAACAATACATCCATGTGAATTCAGCAGTTAAAGCAATTGGACAGCATAGCCAATATTCCTGATTCATTTAATCAGTCAGAAAAACAAAAGAAAGAAAAGAAAAATAATTTTACCCCTTTTGAGTTTGACTTGGATTTGTTACTGCTGTGATTTGAAATGGATGATTTCTCCTTTGCCTGCTTCTTTGCAGCTCCAGTTACAACTTCAAATATTGTGGGGATATCATTTATCATAGAGAAGAGACGTTTCCTGTGTCACAACTTTCATTATATGATTGGAAAATGAAAGAAACCAAGTATTACAAAGAAAGAAAGAAAAGAAAACAAGAACAATACAAGAGAGACAAGTTTCTATCCTCTACCGTGAATACTTTCAAGCAGAATAAGCTAATTTGGAAACAAAAAAAAAAAAATTGTTTATGCAACTGCTGCTTTGTTGCTTTTAGCAGCAGTCCCCACCAAACAAGACCATCAAAGAGTTGAAAACAAAAACTAAATCATCATGCAACAAGCTCATACATCTTGTAGTAAAGTAAAAGTAGAAAAAGCTTTTTCATATAGGACTGTGTCAAGAAATAAATCTCTGTTAACATCAATACTTCCACACAATACTGCTATCAAAAAAGACGCAGGCATCAGCATCAATATATAACAGGTTCCAGTATGAAGGGATTAACTTGATTGTTAAGAATCCAGAAGTTAGAAACTAAATTCTTTTTCTTTCTTTTTTTCTTTTTTTTTTTTTTTTTTTTGCTTTCAAATAAATAATTACTTCTGAAATTTGAAAAACGTGATGAGCATCCTCAACCTATTAGACCTTGAAATCAGATGAGACCATAAAACAAATAGCTGATCATTCTTAATTACATACCCTTTTCTCTTCTATTCAAAATGTTACAAACATTAAAATGCAAGCTCTGTGAACAATGTTATTAAAAACCTCAATACATTGGATCTGATGTGATTAAAATTCCCAACAAGGAAGCAAAATCCTAAGCTTGGGTTAAATAACAATATGAAGAACATAATACAGACATTGTGAATGTCCTGACTACATAAGTGCATAGACATGTTATCCTTTTTTTTTTTTTTGAAAATTATATAACTAGAAAGAACAAAAGATTCTTTTATGCAGACATTGAAACACAAAAGTGGAAGCAGGAGGAGGGAAAAAAATTACCTATCAGTTTTATCAAAACCAAATCTAGAACCAAAGTAGAAAGCCACAGCAAGCAACCATGCATCACTATGAACAGCAACTAAAGAGAGCCAGTCTTTTTCTTGCATCCCATCTCTAGCAAAGTTAATTCCAAGTGCAGGCTCTGGGAGCTCTGGAGGCACTTCTTCGGCAGGTAAATTGACTTCCCACTGTTCATTAGGGAATCCATACAGGCAAAGATTCTCCTTCTCTGTAGGGCACACTAGTTAGTTATGTATATTAAAACACCATCTACTGTTAAAATGAAGTAATAGACTATAATTAATTCAAAATAAAATAAGAGCCAAAATCTCTAGAACTCTATTTTCTCTTTTGCAAGCTATCTAAAGTACTTGGCAAACGAAGAGCACAATAGAAATGGTAACATAAGAATCCATCTCAAAAATGCTCTAGGGGAGCAGTTCCTCTGTAGTAATGCCACTGTGAAAAGTAAGCAAAATACAACTTCTAATCATCACCCTGACTTTGTTATAACGTTGTGGAGACATCATTAAAAGTTAGCTTGTATAAGCAAATGAATGAAAATAAAGTAGCTTGACAATCGTGAAACAAATACAAAATATTGTTTGAGTTCTAATTTCGAAGTTAAATTTTCTCTAGTTTGAAATCAAATCAAATATACTTCTAAGTTGGTAATTCAACGTTTTTTAAACAACCAATTGATATAAAATCTGAAATCATATCGGAAAAGAAAGATACAAAATCCACTATATCCATATTTCAGATCATAAAAAACATGTACAGTATAAGTAGAAGTTGAAAAACTCACAGAAATATAGCAAATCGAACTCATCTTGACACAAATAGAAGAATCCACCCAGATCAATGCCAAATGTCCCAGTGTACAAGGTTCAGAGAGAACAGGCAATGTTTTCGCTCAAGGATCTCTAAAGAAAGTTTGTTTGAATTTTCAATGAAAACAGATTTCTGTGTCCAAGTCAAGAATCTGAGCTGAGCTAGAAAGTGGAGACTGGAAATGAAGTTCATGAAAAATGCATGTAGGATTTCTTGTTAAAAAACAAAAAAATTAGAAATCTCAACTGTGGAGCCGAAAATAAGTAAAGTAGAAAATATTGTATGCAGGGCAAGGAAAAAAAAAAAAAAAAAAAAAGCCTTTCGGCCTTCCCTGAAATTTAGAGATTTTAAGCTTTCTTAAAGAAAAATAGCGATATTTTTATAAATCAGTTGAAATTTACCCGTTTCAGAGTTTTTAATAGACAAAAATTCAAACACTGAGGCTGAGCACCCGAAAATAATAAATAACTAAAACTAAAAAGCATAGAAAACAAAAGTAGAAAGATAAAAGAACCCTAACCAGGATCACACTGCTGATAAAATTCTTCAACATCTGCCAAAAAAAAAAAAAAAACACTAGTAGAGAGAAGGAAACTCGTAATGCGAAATTAAAAGCCGAAAAAAAGTAGAAGAAAAAGATAATTCAAAGATTTAAAAGAAGAGAGAGCAGTACCAGTGGTTAAGGCTTTGATCATTCCAGCTCTACGGCCTTTAAAATCCCTGAAAACCTCCTCTACAGTTCGGGGGTTGTAGGGTGCGCCTCCGTCCATTTTTCCGTACAATCGAAACAAATTGTGCTGCAGAGCGACTCAGATAAATACTAGTATATAAAATTATTGCAAGGAAAGAGATGGAGAAGGAGAGGGTAAGAAAGGAAACCTATCTAAAGTTTTGAAGGGGTAATTGTGTTAATGAAGAATCCAAAAACAGACATTTATTTCTCAGTACTCAGTAGTAGAAGCAGAGGGTGGTGAGGGAGAGAGGGTAGTAGTCCAGTATTAGTAGCAGCAGTAAAAGATTTGGGATTATTTTGGATGGTGTTTTATTTAAAGGATGTGCAGTAAATAGTACAGCTAAGGGCCCAACCCACCCAATTTGTTGTTCAGTTTTTCTTTCTTTGATAATTAATCATCTGCGACTGGGAGGGTCCTCTTCCATCCTTCAAACTTTAGGCTAGATTTTGGCTCAAATTAAAGTGAATCCTATCCTCTAGTTCAATATAAACTAGAACCTGTCTGTCTGTCTGTCTGTCTCTCATAGATGATAGAAAACCCCACACCCAAAAAAAATAAATAAATAAATAAATCGAAAAACTGACTTGGATATATGCTACTAATAATAATCATGACTCACCAGCCACAAGTCACTTTTTTTTTTTTTGTAATATAAATCAATTAAAACAAGACAAATAAAGTTTAGTTATATCCACGTGGCACTCATTCTTTGGCTGCAGGTCCACGATGTGATGTTGTTTGGGTTCACTCACAGCACAAGCAACAAGCACACAGATTTCTTGAATCCAAATTCAGAATTAGATGGTGATGATAACGTGAGCTGGGGTGGTTTTCTCTGTTCTGATGGGTATTCTTATTTTTAAATTTTTTTTTCTTTTTTATCACCTGTGAATTAAGGTGGGAATCAAGCAGCAGAAAAGAGTAAGAGATATCTATCAAGCAGCTTATGGTGACTGAAGATCACGTACCTGTCATACACGTGTCATGTATGGACCGACCTCTTGGGTAGACCTAGCACTAACTCTAGTTTCCGCGATATGAAGGTGCGGGTGCCCACCCATGGCTTGCTTTAGCACCCTCACTGCCCTTGCGTCTTAGAAAATCGATGCTTTCCTTTGCCCGTTTTGATGGTAGGGAGGCAACGGGGTCACGTTATTCGTCATATTGCCTGTGTTGCCCACGCATTTATATAGACTTCCAAACTGTGACCTTTTTGTAAGATGACGCTTATGCCATTCCTAGGGCCCATGATTGCTTGCTTTTGGTCATTGATCGCGAGGCGGACACCATCCAAGCAAAAAGTTTCTTTAAATATTTGATTTTTTTCTTTTTGCAGCTTTTTTTATCCATCTAATCAAACGTTGATCATCTATATTCCGAAATCAAAAGATTCATGAGATCATGACTCACCCCAGTCGCTAGAATGGCTTTTGGGTTGCAAATCGAAAAACACAGCAGTTCTCTAACTAGGCACATACATACCTCCGCATCTGTTGCTAACACCACATCTATGGCATTCAAGATACAACTTGCAAATAGGCTCAGGCATTGCAGCAGGCTCGTTAACAAAAATCTATTTTAATTTCTTAACCAACCATGATTAAATTTCACAATAGATTGGTAAATTATTGATAAACCGGTTCCCCTAACTCTTATCAACAGAGATCCATCTATCGTCATTAAGCAAAACATTATCAGAGAACCTTAATGTATGTGATTAAGAACTGGTTAAGAATGGCGCACCAAACAATACAAATAATTAGTATCGAGGAAACTTCAGAACACCTAGAATGTCAAAAAAAAGTATAACTAAGCTGAAACATACAAACAGTCCAAGAATTTATTTCAATTTTCGGAGATTTCTTATTTCATACAATCAGAACATGTCAGAATTGACTACCTAAGGAGACATATATCAGAATGGTGTACAGTATACCGATGGGCATTCATATTTTCTAAACATCTGCTGAAGCTTGTAAAACCAACAAAGAATCTCAGAGAAAACCAGAATGCCTTGAACTGATTTCACTAATCAGTGGGCGGAAACTCCTCACAAGGAGCTTTTAATTGCTGCAACTTCAAGGAAAAAAGAAAAGAGGTACCGATACTTTTGAGTTCAAACTGCTGTCATGAGCCAATTTACAACATCTCAAAATTCTAAATGAAGTCACCTCCCCTTAATATCTGGAAGCAGAAATATAAAGAAGCTCATCAAGAAAGTGAAGAAAGGAGGTGATTTTGAGTAGCAAGTATTGAGCTTGGGCTTGACGCAGCAGTGATAAAAATCTTCATCAAAACTCAGATTCTAGAGCCGGCTATTCCACATTTATTATAGCAAGACAGGTATATGAGAATAGCATTGCAATGTAAAATAGAACGTAAAACATAAAAATAGGCTGTAAAGGGGATTGCCGTCAGAAGGGGGGAAATGCAAGAATACAATATGCATCAGGTGGTTTTTGTTATCTAAACAAGGTCTGCAAACAATGCAAAGTGCCTTTGGCAATAAAAAGACATCAATTGAATACAAGCTTAGCAGACCATCAGAGCATAGAACTTGAAAACTGACAGATCATCTTTTGTTTACAAGAGATTAGTTGTAACGGTTATCAAGCGCAACAAAAAGGAAAACTAAAGGGATGCATCACATGAAGCCTAAAAGCCCAAACCATGGATCACGCAAAAGCTCCTAACATAAGCATCAAATGGTGTAGAAGGAAGATTAGAAGAACCCAAATCAGGGGGCAAAGTCCATCCAATCAAATATAATTTAGGTCCCTGTTTTTTCTTCAGCAATTACATTAAAGCGGATTTTTTCCAGACATAATTTCATATTCATGAAGAAAAAGAATCACCTTTGTCGCTGTGGGATGATTCATGTTCCTTCATCTCTGGAACATGCTTTTCAAGAAACTGCTGAATAGTTCTCCAGTAGTGATCACCACCAGCAAGCCAAGTGTCCATATGCATGCCATTAGGAAAATCCACAAAGATGCATTCCCTATTATGAGCAGCTGCTTTAGCGTAGAGCATTTGCATATGGGATGGAGGAACCATTTCATCTTGCAATCCAGAAAGGAAGAGAATTGGCTGCTTAATCTGCAATTAAGAAGGTCAACCCATCAGCGGTGCATCGAAAGAGGAAATTAAAAAAGTAGGAAAGCATCACCAAACTGTAATTGCCATTTCCAGAAACGTAATTCTGAAAATAGCTAGTTCAACTTCAACAAGCTATGTTGTATAGGCGAATCACACAGGATCGGCACATGCACTTTAATTCTTTCACAAACCGAAGAAAAACAGGGGAAACATTCAGCCTATAACTCCAAATAAATATTCTCGAACAATAGAAGATGTAGAATACATGCTATGGAAGGCAACAAATGATTGACATGGCATTCCACTTGTTTTTATATGCACAGGTGCTTTGCATTCACAAATAGTCAAAAATGAAAATCATGAGATTCCACCAACATTTAACCTCACCTGGCCAACAACATCAATGGTACTCCATGGAGAACGTACAAGAAAATTAAGGATTTTAGGCCCTTTTGAACCCGTGCCTCCAATAAACCACTTTAGGAAGGGTAATAGAACTCCAGCCATGTCCAGAATGGATGTAAAAGTGTTTTCCAGGATCAATGCAGCAACCTGAAAGGATAGACCAAATAAAAGATGATGACCACAAAAGAAAACAAGAACAAAGAAACAAATTAATACTCACAAATGTAGTTTGAGGACCTCCAAGATGGAAAGTGAATAAATTCCAATTATTCCAATAAACAGTAACAAAGAAGAATAGTAAGTGTGCAAATTTGATTGCAATGAGCTTGGACAAATCACCTTCCTCATTTGGTTTATTTCATATTGATGAAATGAATAGTGCAGGAGAAAAAGACAATAAACGTATAGCATATCAAGATTATCATATTTTTAACTAGAAAGAAATGCATGATGAAAGCAAAATACAAAGAGAAAAATAAACAGCTGTCATAGCCATCACTCGTTATCCACATCTTATAAAACCAGCTTCACTGTAAATTAGAAGAGTCGCCAATGAATATTTCCCAAAAAAAATTATCATTCTATTTAAGGTGGTATGGCCACCAAACGAGAGAATATGGTGAATCAACAACAACTAACTCACTGTCCCAACAAATGGTACTGGGAACCACAATTTTTGCTCCACCCATTCTTTCTTAATGGTAATACTGTAACAGCGACATTTATGTCAAAAATTGTATATCAGTATATCTATACCACAATTCCATGCACATGCTAACACTTCCTTCCATTGTCTTCAACCTGAACACGCTACTAGTCATTTTTAGACATGGCTAATCCAATGCAATTACCTCAACTTCTAAAAAGTAAAACCTCTGGTTACAGTGATGACATGAAGGATGGCTGGTATTGATGTTATCTTCAACCCTTCTTTTAAATATACACAGTTGTACAGCATGTAAAAAAAGTTCACATGTACTTGATTCCCTTCCCTTTATCTTTCAACAACAGATACACACGGCAGGATATGACAAATATGTCTATTTACTATTTGTTGGTTATCAATCTCGATTAGTTGCTTTATATCTCCCCTTTTGACAGGATAGTAAGAAATTAAGTTGAAGTGTCAAACATTGAAAGTTATTCTAATGAGCAGACGTGCATGGTTGATATTATGTGAATAAAAGAACATCTATTTGAGAACCATGTGCAAGGCAGTTGCAATTTAAAAGCTAAATTGAGGCTCTGACTATACCCCTTTGTACTCTACTCAATTAAAATTACACCTACCAGAAGTAGTAGAAGGTCACATATTTTGCTCTCACTAAAATAGAACTAAATAGAAAAGGCAACATCACCACTGTCCAGTACAACTCCAACCTTATTCTCTTTCGAGGCTCGTTGAGTCATTATAAATCACCTAAGGGCTACACTATTAACTTCAAAAATTCTAATGGTTACAAATAACAAACACCTCCCTTCTCCTTCACTCGCACAGACACACAGAGCATCCACCACAAGATGACTCACAAGAGACTATACCATCAAAATTTATGAAAACTTAAAAGCACAACACAAGTGACTTGGAAGATTCGTCAACAAAATGCATGAAGCTGCATAACATGCTCGGTAGAAACATGTTATGTTATTCTGGAAAAACAATCAACAAGATTTTAAACCACAGAAATCAATGCATATAGTACTAACAGAACTATTTGAAGCAATACCTTATCAGGGTTGTTTTTGGCGAGCAGCGCCCCAACTGCACCCCCAAGTGACCGCCCAAACACGACTATTCTAGATGTGTCAATGTCAGTCCTCTGTGAAAGATGATCCAATGCAGCCTACCAAAGAAAGAAAAGCATAAAGATAGAGAACTTAGCTACAGTCTACACAATAAGCATTTGGAGATGAACTGAAAAGGCTAAGAGAACCACACACCTGAGCATCTTTTGTAATTCCATGCTGCGAGGGATATCCATCACTTGCTCCATAACTGCTTAAATAAAGGAAACGATGAAGCATTTGTTTCCACTCAGACAAGCAGCAAGAATACATCAATTGCCATCCATTGAGATATAAACAAAATGGAATATGGCACGATGCAAGAACTTTAGCACATGATAAGCAAATACATACCCTCGATATGAAAGCATGAACACATTACACTGCAACCTCTGAATCATTATGCGGACCATTTCAAGACGATGAGCAATATCTGAAGGTTAATAGTTAAGGCCTCTAGTTTCAGCCGGCCAATAAAAAATTAAAAAAAATACTGAATGAACCCAATACAAGAGACAAACACAACAAACATATCCTTATAATAATGAATCGTGATAAGGATACTTCCAGCATTCTCTTGAAAAAACAGGACCGTCGGACCTGCAAAATGATCAACACTGATTTCTGAGCTTCGGAAATTTATAAATGTCATGCTATTTTTAAGTAAATCATGAACGGAACTACAAAATTGACACAATTAAAATTTACACTAATCCTAATTCCAATTAAAATTAAGCTACAAAAACTGTGAAAATCAAATTAAAAAAAAAAACGAAAAGAAAATTAATAATTTCAGTAGACGAGCTCCAACAGATTCAAGGTACACAAAACAAAAACTCAAAATTAAATTCAAGTTTCATTTCCGGTTACTTAAACCCTAGCTCAGTCAAACGAAATGAATCAAAGAAAAATAATTGGAGTCAGGACCTCGGCATTCAGGGAGGAGTTTAATGAACCAAGCGTGAAGGTGGACGCCATCAGAGGATCGGAGCCAAACGTCCTCGTAAAGGAGACGGAGTCGGGCGGGAGTGATCGGGTAGGATTTAGTGAGACCGGGTAAGACCGGGACGTAGACAAGCTTCTCCTGAAAAGCCACAAGCAAAGCCATCCCAGCTACCACTATGCCTCCTACTCCGTACAGCAACGCACTCACGTACGACACCATTTCCCACTGTTGCTCGTCGTTTTGATTTGACAGTCTTTTCTCTTTATTTGTGTGTTGTGACCGTGAGTGAGTGAGAGAGCTGTTTGTTTATGACCTGATTTTAAATTTAAAAAAAAAAAAATTATTACTATTAATATTATTATTGAAAGAAAAAGGTTGATGTTTGGGTTTAGTGAATCTATCTGTCCATTTTTCTTTGGGTCGTGGGGAAGAAAGAAATGCATCGGATAATGTGGCTGTGGGGTCCGTCTTTGAGAGTGTTGGGGAAACTAAGGTTGAGTTTGGTTACGGGTAGAGTACCAGGGACAAAATATATTTTTGTCAAAATTAAGAACTAATAAATTTTGGAATAATTCGTTATAAGTATATTAATTTTTAATTTTTTTCAATTGAATACATAAATTTTAATTTTTCTATTTGAATATATCATTTTTTTTAATTATCAATCAAATATTTTTGTTAATTTTTTCATTAACTAATGACATGTTTAGTACCCTCAAAATACTAAAATTAATTTTATCCTTTTTTTTAATCGAGTATATGAATTTTAATTTTTTTCATTTGAGTATATTAAATTTTTTCTTTTTTTTATTCTTTAAGTATTTTTATCATTTTTTTTATTAATTTATGACGTATTCAAATATAAAATTATAATTTTAGCCTTTTTAGTTGAAAGACACTTTCTTCTCAAATTATTTTACTATTTTATAATTTGATAAATAATTAAAAAAATTATTTTTTATCTCTAAAATTTTAGACTAAACTCAATTAGCTTGTTGTTAAAAAAAAACTCATTTAGTTTTAAAAGTAAAAATTGAAGAAAAATACAAATGAATCTTTTGGACAAAAAATGTCACGTTTGTATTTCTTTCAATTTCCATGCCAAAAACTTAACTGTTTTTTTTTTAATAGCAAACCATACTAAGTTTGGTTCGAGATTTTATAAATAAAAATAATTTTTTTTGAATTCTTTGTCAAATTTTAAAATGATAGAATAATTTAAAGAGAAAGTTCTTCACAACAAAAGATGAAAAATATATATAATTTAATATTTAGACACATCCTTAATTAATGAAGAAACTGACGAAAGTACTTGATTAATAATTTTGAAAAAGTCAATGTACTCAATCTGAAAAATTTAAAGTTCGAGTACTTCGTTGAGAAAAAAGGATAAAATTATAATTTGGTATTATGAGGATAATAGATAAGTCATCGGTTAAAAAAAAAATTGACGAAAGTACTTGATTGACGAGTTATCTTGAAAAACTTAATGTACTTAAATGAAAAAAATTAAAGTTTATATCTTTAATTGAGAAAAGATTGAAAGATAATATACTTATATAATAATTATCCCAATAAATTTATGTTACCTTTTTTAAGGGATTTGGATGATGGAGATGCAAATAAAAATCATTTTAAAATTTTATATTCAAACTATCGACTTTTCAAAATTCCAAGCCATGCATTTCACTTACTAATCTTAATCATCGATTTTCGTTAATTTTTGAAACATTTTATAGTATTATTCCATTATTAATTATAAATCACATTTGGATTTAGAAAAATAATAATAATATTTTGGGGAAAAAATTACTATATTCTAAACCCATAAAAGTGACAATAACATCTTCATGTTATGAAATAATGAATGTCTATATGAATGTTTATACTATTTTCATATTCTCACTACTCATAATCTTAATGTTATTTAATTCACCATTCAATATAAAAAAATGAAAGAATGGTGCAATTGATTCAACTATTTATGCACATTTTAATTATTTATACACTCTAATTCTCTTTTAATCTTGATGCCTATAAATAGGTTTGATTGTTCGTTGGTTAGGTTGAAGTATTTTTGTATAGATTGAAAGAATTATTTGAAGTTATTATCACTTGTATTTTTTTTTTTTATAGGCAAAATATTTTTCTATCGTCTTTCTCTTCAATTCTTTTACCATTATCATTATTTTTCAATATACTAGTAGCACGAAGCTCTAACCAACTCGAAATAATAGATCGTGAGGTAAATCTATCAAAAGACTCAACCATTTGTTTCAATCATTGAATTATTTTTCTAGACAAGTGTTTTGTCAAAAGATTTAAATTATTTGGATTATTAAGAGGTATGTATTTGATTCATTCTTTACTTTAAACTAATGACGCGTGGAGTATATATTTGAAAAAAATTGAATGATTTAACATATAGAATCTAATAATCGAATGTATGTTGTTTGAAAAACTCAAATTTTATTATTATGTTTGTTCTCATTTCCTAATATTATTATTATATCTTGCATTATAGAATTTTTATCATATCAAACCTCATAGAGTTTGATTTTTTGGCCTTTGAAAATTCGAGAAAGAATTATTAATCGTGAGTGTTTGATGTTAAAAAAATATTTTCTATTTTTCATACTTAGAATATGCTCATGCAATAGCAATATCTAGAAAAGGGTTTTAAGAAATATTTTGAATTGATTTCATATTTGATTATGGCTACACAAAATAACGTTATAGCGATGAAAAATCATGAATTTCATCCAACTAGATCTAATCCATTCCTTGAAATGAATGTAATAACTTATAATAATTATGGACATGGATGAGGACATAGTCATGGCTATAGACGTAGACATAGCTATAATCGTAGTTATAATAATTATCGTTATAATCGTGAGGATCATAATAATAAGTTTCACTACAAGAAGTGGATAAACTATAAAAAGAAACAAGAAAAATACTAAAAAAGTAAATCAGTATTTTGAAAATGAATGTTATAAATGTGACATAAAAGGACGTTAGTCACTCACCCGATGTACTTCAAAGCACCTCGTTGAACTTTATCAATCCTTGTTGAAAAAGAAAGAGTATAATATAAAGGTCATCTTTACATATAAAAATAATAGTAATTGAAATTAATAACAATAACTTGTTATCTTTTCTATTTATAAATAAGATGTTTTATATTTTTATAATTTATATTGCATAATGATAGTTACAAATTTATTTTGCTATTTATATATATATTTGTATTTATGAAGAATACATTTATTTTTATTTTGTTTATTTAATTATTTATTTTATGTTAATAATATATTTGATAGTATAATTCTAATCGAAAGCTTCAAGAGAGTGAATATATTATCACCTAAAAAGACATTTTGAAAGTTTTAGAAAAGTGAATATATTATTACTTAAAGGAATAAATTTTGAAGGCTCCATAATGGTTATAACTTGAAGGGATAAATTATAAATAATATATTATTCTCTCCTAAATCCCATTAAAAAATTATTAAGTTTTAAAAATATTCATTTAAATGAATATCATACCGACACAACAATTAATATAAAGTTATACCCCCACCCCCCAAAAAAAAGAAAAAAACCATTTGTAGAGTTTCACATATTTCGGACCAACATTTATATAAAGTTATATCCCCAAAAAGGTGTGTCATGAAATAATTGAAACATTTCCAACTGTTTCAGGTTAATTTCTGAATGACATGAGAACCAAGCCCTAGCACTCATTGGGCATTGGTACAAGCATTGGGCGCGTGCAAGTGTATTTTTTCATGTCCATTCCAAGTCTCGACACAGAAACAGACACAAGAATGAAACAACGTTGTCAGATCGTCTTAACCTTATACGCAATTAATTAAAAAAAAAAAAAAAACCTTTAGACGCAAAGCTAAACATAGACTCCAGAATTCAAGCAGCAAAAAGCAAACTATTGGCTGAGCGGCTTGATGCTTCATGAAAGCCCCAAGTCTGATCTTTTATTTGATAATCTGATGAGCAAACACTGGCATAGTTGCCATATTTAACAATCAGTGTAACCAAGTGACGGATTTCAAACACAAAACTCTTTTCAACAACGTTGACATACCAAGGATGTATATAGAAAGCAAACAGCAGAGAAAAATCAAATACATAAGTGTCCTTCATGCACTTTTCGTACTAAGTAAAGAGACAAAGCCAAGGATGAATTGCCCGACCGGTGACATGGTCTTCTTGTTTGCCATTTTCACCGAACAACAGAAGCATGGTGTTGGGTTCCACTGCACATAAGCCCACCATTGATTTGCATGCCAACACCAAGGTGAGCATCAATACCTGAGAACCGGCGATCTGGCAGCCTAAAAATGACATCACTGTTGGAGACACTGGTGATATCAGAGCAGGATGCATTTGAGGCACCAGATTGGTCAGTTCCCGATTGGCAGCTTTCAAGTTCTGATGCATCATTCTTTCGGTGCAAGTAGCTGGTATCTGTGACATTACACTGACTAGGAGTGGGAGTGGGAGTGGGATCAGATTGCTGGGGCTTTTTAGTGCTGAGAAAGCGTCCACCAGATCCCCGAACCCTATTTAAGGCATGAACATGCCGAGACTCGTGAAGGTATGGCTGCAATCCACTAACAGTGGCATGGTAAGTCGATCATGAATAACAAATTAAGGAGCAATGTATTACTTTGCTGGCATAGCAACCGGTGCTTTCAGGTTTACTTTCCCAAGAAGGAACCAACTATTGTGCTCTACACATTATAGCAACTCATAGAGATACCAAAATACTTCAGTTTACCAATACTCATACACAAAATACAGCCCCAAAAATAACTGGTTGCTGAATAGACATACCTTTCGATTCTTTACAAGTTTGTTTTGAGCCTCTAGCTTTGCCCGTGATTGTCTCCTTCTCAGAATTCCATGGTACTGTTTAGCATTAACATAAATGGGTCCATCATCTGCAAGATCTAGAGGCAATGGGACTCTTCCAGCTGTCATCCCCACCATATGAGAACCCAGCTGGGGCTGAATCTGGTCAGGTTCCAGCAATAATTAGATCGAAAAGGCAAGCAATAGTTACAAAAAAAAAAAAAAAAGAACATAAACAGTATACAAATGAGACTTTAAACCCTTATATCATCGCTCTAAAAGTATTAAGATCATCTTTCACCCATTAGACAAATAATGTAGGGCACCAAAAGTGTCCTAATGAAGTAGATTGCAAAACCATCCAAAAAGGAAAATCGCAAACCAATAACTGGCAGTAACATATAAACAACTGAAAGAAAATCAATGCTACGACAGATAACAAAACCCTAGCACTGCACGGTCTCTATCTACAAAAAGACGGCAAACACATGTACTCAATGGTACTTACAAAGGCATGTGGTCCATATGGATTAAACAGCCCACCAAAGTAAGGATCAGCACATGGATATGGAGTATGAACCTGAATGTGAAGTGTCATTAATCTATAATTATAACCAAGATGACAAACAGAAACACATGTAAAAACCAGCTCACCCTACCATTGAATAGCTACAATCAGCTTGTGAATGATTGGACACACTATCTGGAGTACTGAGCAAGAGAACTGGTTTCATTTTGCCCTCCAGACCCTTCCCGCAACTTTCATCTTGAGCCAAGTGCATGGAAAAATGATCATTTCACGTTAAAGCTAGCTTAGCAATATGCTGGTAAAGTAGCCAGTTCAGCCTCATAAAGCATAGCAAATAACGTATATCACAATAAATGGACCATCAATATCATAGGAGACATACTAAAAGGTACCAACTCAGTAGAACTGATACAGAAATACACGTTCTACTAGAAGCAAGTTACTAATCCATACAAGGATCTCTGTTAACTATATATGCTGAACTAAGAAGGGACAGCATTCCAGTGGATGTCAAAAAGAGGTGAGAAAATTATTTCAGACATAAGATATCTTCAGGATATAAACAACTGATCAGGAAAAAAGCAAATTCAGTGAAATGAGATTAAACATAGATACATTTTCAGATACAAAAGAGAAAAGAGATGAAGAATTTGAAAAACTGAAACTAAACATCTCATTAAGATATAAGTACATTTTAAAATGCATTCCAAGGAAAAGGAACACATGCACACACAGTTATCAAGAATGCTCTTTGGTTAATTCTGTAGAATTCAGGTGCGAAGGTACAGAATCCCAAACAAAACGTGAGATAGAGAATAGAAAATCTGACATTCTGCAATGGCTTTTAATGGCTGAAAAGGAAAAATAATTCACTAACCATTTAATGGCACTTAAATTTGTCTCAGGAAAAGAAACGATAACAAATAAATGGAAGGCAGCACATTAAATACAACACCATAAAAAGCACTCAGATGGTTTGCCTTCAATTAAACTCTCATGACTTCTGATAATGTGCAACACATGAAATCATCTGAATACAATTGGAGCATTTCTCCGCTATCAACAAAAAGAAAAAGGAACATATGCACACAGGAACTGAGCAATTTCATGTATTACATATAGTTTGAAGTTTTTAAAAACGGAATTTATGAAAAAAAAATCAAGCTCTGATTATCTTCTAGTAAAGCCAGGTAACACACTAACATTTAGTTTTGAACATCACAGTGGACACTTATTGTAATTCTTTAAAAAACAATTATTTTATGTTAGAAGGGATTCCTAGCCCCAAATTTCCCTGCAGCACCAAAGAATGCTTTTGAAAAGAAAATAAATATGTTCCAATGTCTTTCTTCTGCTATTGATAACAATGTGCACCTCCAAGCTAAGGCACAGCCTAATTTGTAGCCATACCTACCCTCTAAAGTTGAAGAAACAAGTTGTAAGCACACTTCACTGAGACTAACTGAAAAATAAAGAAGTCTGTGCTCTGCTAGTGTAATCCATAATATAAAGAACATAATACAGTGAATAAATTTGTGCCACCAAAAGCAAATACCAGATTCAGTCGAAATACATTGATCTTGTGAATTGGTCCCTCCCACAGCACTCATTTCATTGCGAGATTGACCAATTGATAGAGTTGAGGATGATTCCTGGTCCGGAAGATGAAGTCCTAACTGCTTTGCTTCATGATAAGGTTGGGATGGAGGGTCTACTTTAAAGCTTATGCTCTTGGATACAGATGGTGAAAATTGCTGCTCATTTGAATTCCACCATGAAGGGCAACTGACAGCAAAGTGGGGTTCATCAAAGTTTTTCTTCAGCAAGTTCTGAATTCGTAAAGCCATCTAGTTTATCTATATATGTATATATCCTGAATTTGAAGAAAATTCTTAAACAATCACAGATTCTTTTTGGCTCGCCTTTGAGATTACTGTTTACCTGTCCAAAAAAAAAAAACAAAAACAAAACAAGATCCACTGAGCTAAGCTGCTTCAATTACATAAGAAAATGTTATTAAAAAAATTAAAATAAAACTAAAGAGGATAGGTAGATGAAGATGAAACACACAAAATAGACTATTTTTTCACCATGAAGCTTTTTGGCATAAAGAGATATAATATCATACTGAAACGACAGGTCAGACTCAAATCACCACTTTACAAAGCTGAAGTGACCAAGAGTTTGTAGTTTGAGTAAAAGATATTGAATACTCAAAATAGAATGGGAGACACTCAGAACTGAGCAAAGGATAATTCGATAATGAAATGAAATAAGAATCTTTTTTTTTAAAAAAAAACAAATAATCTAAACTAGAAATACTTGTTTTGAACAGTTCTAGGTAATTTTTGGGAGTTAGGAAATGCGATTTTTTAAAAACTTTATACACCACTGATGCAGCAACTAATGACTGCAGTCATTACAGGATTCAGCTATCACATAAGAATCTCATGGTTTACCCATGTTTCCAGGAAAATTGTTCTAGGGAGGTGGTAACTAAGTCATATTCATCAGAATCCAACACCCAATTCTCCATCAGTACCACTAAATTGCAACAGGTGTGCATACGTGTGTGTTTGCTGGCATGAGGTTGCTTCTGTGGTTAACAAGTTTACCATGGACACCTTTGGGAAGAAGTGGTCCTGACTAACTGAACAAGAATCAACAGAAGGAAAGCATTTTATGACCTAACGTATAAACAAATCATAACTTCAAATACAAAGAAAAAATTAACTCCCTGGCATGCATATTCACTACCATAACATGAGAGTCTTTCGCAATTACTCCAACTTAGTAAAGTAATTCTTCCTAAGAAAAGATGCTAAATAACTACAAAAAAACATTTGTCTTTCCCATTTAAAGAACCTCACTCGCCAGCAATATCAGAAACAAGTTTCCTATCAGTTGAGAGTCATGCTGCACCTAAGTAACAATAGAAGGAAGTGCAGTCAATGACCAACCATTATACAGAATCGGCCTGCCTGAAAATTTCCAAATGTGGGTGAAACATGCAACATTCAAGCTTGTTGCTAATTGAACAAGATTGTGTCATCCACAGAACCCACAAAACCAGTGAAGCTAAGAAGAACCACTGACCTTGGCATGTAGTGTAAAAGCATGGAAAAACCAGATATATGGCCAACATATTAACTCAAGACTTTAAGGACTACCACTTTTAAATCATGACTAAAAATCAATAAAATGCACTGCGAGACCTCCCCCCCAACCCCCCAACACTTTTCTATACAATATATGACTATGTAACTGCAAATTAAACCTACATGAGCTCCAAGATTTCGGAACCTAAAAACTAATGCCAGCCATTAATCGTGCTCTGTAAGACATGGCTAACAAACCAACAAGAATGATTAATATATTCGTACATGTATGCAAACCAGTAAATGCAGCATTGAATAAGCATGAAATCAAAGCTCTGCCTGTAACCTCTTAGATGCATTTGGCATACAAGGGTAAGGTGAATAAAATCATACGGGAAATCCTCAGAACACCATTCTAATACCAGAAAGAAAAATAGTAATGATAAATATAATGCAAAACCTAAAATATTGAGAACCAGAGAGTAAAATCAACTAAAAATGCAGTAAAAAAAAATCAAGGAACAGAAAAGGCTTAGACATAGGGATACAAAAATAAGTAAACCCCCAAAACCTAAGAAAGAATGGGAAAAAAAAAAAAAAAAAAAGAACAGGCAAAAGTAGTAGCGAGACCCCAAAAACTAAGCATAGAAAAAGAGTACAGTTAGAACTACTTTCCCATCTTCAAGAAAACATTACCATGATCTCAAACTCCACATGCACACATAAAACAGCAAATAAAACATACCCACCTGGATTCTATACCCATAAATTGTATCCAAACCATCAAACCAAGAACAAGCAAAAAGAAGAAAAAGAAAACATGAAGAGAGAGAAAGAGAGAGTGCAGCAAAAGATAAAGCGAAAAAAACAAAGAAGAAAGAAGAAGAAGATGGAGAGTTGATAAATATTGGTTAAGTAGATAAAATAAAGAAAAAGAGAGAGAGAGAGAGAGAAAAGATGAGACCTTTGGGATCTGATAAGGAAGTCAATAAGTAGAAGTAGAAGAAGAAGCAAAGAATTTCAAGCGGAGGCTGTAGGGAAGAGGTTGGGCATGTCTCCCTCTCTTGAAACTCTCCACACCACCACCACACCTACCAATCCATTCCTTAAAACCTCTCTCTCCTGTTGAGTTTTGCTTTGCTGTGACATCCGCATACCTACAAAGTTCCTAATAATTCCAAAACAAAATAAAATAATATGATTACTCACTCCACCACCAACAGCAACCACCATTTTCTTTCATCGCTTTCATTGTTGTTTTCTATTCAATTTTTGTTAACGTTTCTTTTTTCATAATCGGACCCACCATATTATTTATTACTTGCCCCCACCCGAACACGCCCTTGCTCTTTTGGCTTTATTCGCAGCCGCCCTTCACTGTCCAATCCATGCTCCATCTCTTGCGTTAATTAGCTCAAGCGTGCCTCTACTTTTCAAAATTTCTTAATGTCATCCTCCATCAATTAATTTTCTTACTTATGTTACGTTGTTTAATCAACCCCCTCCGTCCAATTTTACTCGTTAAGTGCTCAAGCGGACATGCTTGGCCTCTGTGTCTGTGTATATATATATATAGACAACGAAAAGGTAGAATATTAAAAAAAGAAAGTCTGGTATTTCTCGTCCAAAATCGTAGGAAATGGCGGTCAACTTTCGTGAATTTTCTTTTACGCATACCGATAGAGATGCAAAACGGTTGCTCACGGTTTTATGGTGAATGTAACTGTATGTTATTGTAAAAAATGAAGTACCATTTCTTCAATTTAATCGAAGTTCAAACAAACAAATTTAGTCATGATTCTGCCGCATCTTCCCTTTCTCTTTCCAACAAAATCACATCTTTCTAACCTGGATATGAGATAATTTAACCCATTAATGATTTACCTTAACTGTATATACAACGTCCTCTGCTCCAGGTTCAAAATCATTGAAATAAGTATCAAAATACGATAAGAAGGTTTGATCTAATAACAAAGAAGGGGGAAAAAACATTTAGGTTTCAACGTGAAAATCTCGTCCAAACCATCTGCTGTTTAATTACTTGTGGCAATGCTGGCTGCCCATGGAGGCCTTACTTGACTGGTTTCCTGAATTTTTTGAGATTCATGCTAAGTTGTAGCAAAACCTAATTTCTGTGTCAAGGTTTATAAGGAATTAATTTTTCAATTTTTAGCAGAGATGGGTAGCAACATTGAAAATGGTGGCTAACCATTCAGGCCTTTTTGGTTTGGGAATTTCAGGAACAACTTGTGTTTATGAGTTCTTTCTTTCTTTCTTTCTTATTTTAATATTTTAATTTCATTTTTTTTTTTTGAAAATAATATATATATATTAGATCTCAAGCATTTGGATAAACTTTAAGTATTTTTTTTTCCTTAGAATTTTGAATATTTTTTTATTCGGGTGATGTAGGATAGTATTTTATATTTAATTTAATTTATGTTTTTGCATTAAGTGTATTGAATTAGTTTAATAGTTGGACACAATTTCCACTTCATAAAAAGAAAAGATATATTAATTACGTAATATTTTGATATCATTTAGAATTTTAAATTAAAAATAAATTTATAATAAAACTTCTACCTATATATATATATATATATATCTTTCACACCTATTAGCATTCACGATAGAATTCTACTTGTAATATTTTTATGTCATTAAAAATATTGTGATACGAAAAATAAGCTTATGATAAAACTTCCACGCTTTAGTTCAAAAATAGAATAAAATAAAATAAAACTTCAACCAATATTAATATGATCAAGATAAAGATTTAAAATTTAGAAGAGAACTCTAAGATCAAACCTTTGTGTATGTTTTTTTTTTAAAAAAAAAAATTAAAGAGATGGAGGTGTCTCATTGATCAAATCAATGCCTAGAAACTTTTTTTTTTTTTTTTTACACTATTCTTGTATAAAGGGTTAGATTTTAGAGCATGGTTATCTAATTTTAACTGTTCTCTCTCTCTAAATATTTTCTTTTATAGAGAGGATTTACATCTCATAATTTGTGTTTTGTTTACATGCGATTTAGAAAAGATCTAATCTTTTTAATGTTTCTCATCCTTTCAAGTAGTTTATTTTGTTCTTAGAAGTAAACTTACTTTTATATATTTTTCTTAAGTTTATTTACACGATAATAAAAACAAAAATGATTGTAGTTTTATTGGATTGAAGAATAATCATGATCGAATAGCCATTATATAAACTCAGCATCAGAGCATACAAGTACAACTAAAAGAAGATGAATTGTTTGAATAACTTTGTCAGAATTGAAGTTCTTTCGTACTCAATTCTCTATAAAAAAAAATTATTTTGTTTCGAAATTTAAGATAAGATTGCCTGCTCATCTTCTAAAATCTGTTTTTTTTTTTTTTTTTAAGCTCTGCACAAGTTATTTATTTATTTTTGAATCGAACTACACGCAACACGTGAGTAATCCGCTACATATTAAATATATATATATAAACCATAGTTATCCTGCTTAGAGAAAAAGACAAAGAATGGTGCGACCCACATGTCGGTCCGTGTCGGCACTTAACATCTAAAATTTGGACGGAGCGACCCATTTGAGTAACAAAAGTTAAATAAAGGGTCCGGACTAAAAGAATTAATTGATGAGAGATGACATTAAGAAAATTATGAAAGTACAAGGACTCCATATCCAATTAAGCCAGAGAGTGTACCTACCAAGGCAAATGAGGCAAAATCATTTATTGCCATCACCATCTCCGGTCAAAAGGCGTTCGAGCACAAATATCAAAATGATAATTTCTCCCCGAAGTAATCCTTATAATTTTTTTTCGTCATCGATCTTGAATATGCATCATATCTTACATCAAACACTCGTTTGTTCTTTTTTGAAAGTGGATTTCATGAAAATGGATTATTTTTTGAAAAATTGTTTACATATAGATATATATATATATGAATAGTCTAATTTTATTTTTCTTTTTCATAATCTTTGTTTTAACCATTTCTACGAGATAATTAACTTAAAATTTTAGATACAATATTAGTCCTTTTATTCTTAAAAAACTAATATTAAATTAATATATTTTCATATTTAATTTTTCATTTTTATCACAATTAAATTATTTATTTGTAATCAAATTTTTCAATCTTATCCGCTAAAAACAAAGTAAAAAATGCATTTAAAATGATAACAAAGGAATCTTTTGATTAAGAGACTAGCTTATAAAATTATTACAAAACACAAGAATTAAATTATAATTTATTCAACAAATAACAATCTGAGCAATCAGGAAAAAAACCTTGAAATGTTTTCTTTTACTTATTTTTCTAAGCTTCACCAAACATGAAAGGGCTTAGAAAATGATTTCTTGAAAACAAATTTCTGAAAAAAAAAAAAAAGGTCTGAATAAACATACCCACAATAGATGAGTATTAAATAACTTCAATTGAACCTTGAAATGTCAGTTTCAAATATTTTTTGATGATTATTTAAACTTGTGAATTTGTTTTTAACATTTCTAAGCATACTCCCACCAACCCAACATCCATAAGCAATAATTTTGTCACAATTTCTTTTAGTATTCGAACACGAAAAACATAACTAAGCCTCAAAAAGTCCACTTGTTCTATCATTAGTCTCGTTTTATGATATCGTAAAGTCACCAAACTAACATTCCTTTATATTTTGTTCAATAACAAATATATATAAATGTCTACAATATCAAATATTAAAATGCTCATCAACCTAACATACATAAGCAAACCTTAAAATTTAAAAGTTACAGATTGCACCAAAAATATTTTATGGTTATTTTTTAAAATAAATTTTATGGAAACTTCTATAATGTTAAATATTTTCACTTAAAAAAAAAAATCATTACACATGCATACTTACATACATATAATAACTCTTAACAATATTTATGAATTATGATAATTTTGAAAACCTAGTATAGTAATTTCACATATAACTTATCAAAAGTTAATTACATTTTTTATGTACAAAATTATTAATTTTTTCTATTGGAGTGTATTAATTTTAATATTTATTATTTGAATATAGCAATTTGTAATTTTTTTATATTTGAATAATCCTGTTAATTCTCGATAATTTTATGTTGATGTGATTATAAACTACACACGTGATACCATAACGTGAGCTCTTCTAGAAAAAAAAAAAAAAAGAAGTGACAATTAGAAAAGAAAAGTTTATTATATGTTTGATATGCAAACATTTTTTTTATTCAAAAGTGTAAATTTTAATTTTTGTTATTTGATTGTAATAGTTTATAATTTTTTTCTATTAAGTGGTTCCGTTAACTATAATTTGATATGTCTATCAGCTACACGTGTAGCATTATCATGTGAGCTTATTTTCAAAACACATGACAACTAAAAAAATATAAAAAAATAAAAAATAACAATATATTTTTATTTTCAGATAGCAACAAAAAATAAAGTGAAATTCATAACACTATCCATTAAGTAACCATATTCTTACTAGTATCTCCCAAAATGTCTTTATCTCTAATGCAGTATGATAACCTTGTAATTGTTCTTTTTTCTATATTTAGTCATCTTTTATCCAAAAGAAAAAAAAAACGAAAGAGGAAAGAAAAAGTCTAATACAATTGTTCCTTAAAAACTAGGAAATGGAATTGAGAAACAAAAGATGAAACAATAAAAATGAATATTACACCACTTCAATCAAAATTAGCAGTAGAACTCAAACACTGAATTTGTCATGAAATATTTCACCAAACTTATAGCTTTGTAGCAGAGGATTGGATTGGTGTGGAATGTGGATAGTCACCGTGCGGGCCGGTTGGAGGTATAGCGATAAAGTAATCAGATCGACATCCAGACTCAGCTCATTATTTTTGTCCCGAAAGCGACATTAATTAATTATTTGCAGGAGTTGGTGTTGTGTCAAGTTTTACACCACAAGTGAATGTTTGTTGGGCTATTTCTACTTTAATAAAATTTATTTTTATTGTGGCTATCCGGAACCTCTCAATTAAAAAGGGTTAAAAATAAAGAGTTGTCTTTTCGTATTTTAAAGAGAATAAGAATCCTAAATCACTGGTTTTTTCAGAGATTATAAATAAAGAATTGATTATATTTATTAAAAATATAACCATCATTAAAAAAAACATCATTTCTTAAAAAAAAATGGCCTGACTTGTTCCATCTTTAAATTATTTGCTAATGTATTATTTTGTCAAAATATTTACAAGTTTATTTTTTATCCTATTGTTTATTTCAAGTAATTTTATCCATTTGGCTGAGGGAGTCATTTTATAGCATAGTAAATTGGTTATGATTTATTGTGAATTCTTATTAAATTATCGTCGGATCCCAAGATAAAGATTATTGTTAATTTAACATTGGATCTTATTATATTCATGTCACGATTGTCATGTCGGAAAATAATTAACAATTTTAAATATAATAAATGAATTAAATTTTATGATGAAATCTTATTAAATTGACATCGGACTCTAAAATTAAGAATCGTATCAATTTAATGTCGAATTCGATTGAAGTCGTGACATGATTGTCATGTCAAAAACTAAATGATAGAATTTAAATTATCTAAGTTTATTTAGTTTTAATATTAAATTTTATTGTAATTAAGATTTAGAGTGATATAATATTCTATGGAATTAACAATAATCAAAATTAAGATTACCCTAAATCTTTAAGATGTGAATATGGGTTATAAATAAAAGACAAGAAAATCTTAATTAAATTTACTAAAAAAAAATTGATTATGTAGTATTAAACAAATAAAATTCAGATGAATACTCAAACATTTTTGAAAAATTCTAAAATTTGGTACATAATTAGAAAGCATACTTATTTACAACATATCAAATTTTCAAATTTTTATCATGTCAGAAATCGAAAAAAAAAAAAAGATTGATCCATAACGACATGAATGAAACATGGACTAAAAAAATCATGCTAAAAGACATTTTTTTTTATAAATTCTAATCAGACCCTTATCAAGTCAAAATATGGATATATTTGAAAACTTATTTTTTTATAGAGTACTAAAATAGAACAAATAAACAATCATAAAAGATTGAAGTGCAAAATTTATGCCAAACTTATAAACAAATCTCCATAATGCTGCTACCATAATTTGCAGTTTTCGTTGTGACTTGCACGACCCAAATAAAGAGAAAAACGACATCAAAATGATAAATTTAATGAACGAAAAGTATAAAAAGACATTTCTTCTATGAAATGAAACTGAAATCAACAAATTTGGTTGGAGGGTTGATGAGAAAACGGCTAGTCACTCTACAAACTATCCAAATTGCCAAAAAAATTTCCAATACTTTTATTCTCTTTTTCTTACGTATTTATGTAGTATCCTCCTTTTTGTCTCTTGTAGTATTCTTTGACGATCTTTTATATTATAGTGTGAGAATAAGGATTGGTGAGATGATTTTCAGCTATCGTGATGGATATCAAGGTATATCTTAGATTAATTTTTGGATAGAGATTAAGGTAAATTTTAAAAGCTTATTGGTTGTGATTTTCTAACGTAGAAACAATCTAGGTACATTGGGAATTGAAACAAGTGTCTAGACGTGTGTTAGGACGAGAGATCAAGCCTAATAATAAATGAGAAATTCTAGCCAAAAGTGTTAAAAAAGAAGAAGGAAGAAGAAAGCAAAAGAAAGAAAATGTGTGGTTAAAAATTTAACCTATAGGAGACTTAAAGAGATATTCATTTTTTTGTTTTTTTGAAAAATTTTGAAAGAAAATAAAGAAGAGGTCAAAATTTAAGTTAGACAGTTGCCTCCTATTTACAATGCTTATGGCATAAAGTCAATGAAATTGTAAATTTCAATTGACATTGGTTAATAAGCTTGTAAAGAAAAAGCTTGAATTATAAAGAAAATCATAATAACATATCGGTCATATTCTTATTGGCAACTTATCTTATTGGTCCGGTTTTCTTGTGTGACCTACCTTATTGATCTGCCTTTCCTAGGCAACCTACCCTACCGGTCCGGCTTTTCTAGGCAACCTACCCTACTCGATCTAGCTTTCTTAGGTGATCTACCTAGTTTGGCCTCGACTTTCTTGGGTGACCTATCCACTTTGGTTTGACTTTTTTTGGTGACCTATCTCTTTGTTCTATTGTTTCGAGTGATTTGTTGCTTACATTTTTGTTGTTTTGGATGACCTATCCCTATAGGTATGTTGTTCAAGGCGATCTATCCTCTATGGATTTACTATTCCGAGCAACCTACCTCTTATAGATCTATTATTTCAAGTGACTTATCTCTTATGGATCTATTGTTCCAAATGACCTATTCCATTGATTTGTTGTTAAGGGTGAACCGCCCCTTATGAATTTATTGTTTAAGACGATCTACCCCTTATAAGTATGTTATTCCGAGTGAACTATCCTCTATGGGTCTATTGTTTTAGGCAACATGTCTTTATGGATCATTGTTTAGGCCAACTTGTCTCTATAAGTCTGAAAAATACTAGTCATCTTTAAAGTTGTGGCTTTAAGGTTTATATCGTCTTTAAAATAATCATGACTTTTAAGTCCATTTCATCTTAAAAAATAAGGCATTTAAAATCATGGTATTTCGATTCATATTGATTTCAAGATTATGGCTTTTAGATCCACATTCACTCTTTACTCGTGGATTTTAAGAAGTGAATGGGTTAAGTTAAGAGGTGACTAACCTCAAATATCCATTTGGAGATTCTAAAAGCTAAAATGGATCAAGTCAATAGGTGACCAATCTCAAATATCCACTCGGAGATTCTAGAAGCTAAAATTGATCAAATCGAGAGGCAACCAACCTCAAGTATAAATGAAGATTTTTTAAAATGCCTAAAAAATTGGAATATATTTTTGGTCTTGAGAACAATGTGTATGGGTTTGGAATTTATGATCGGGGTTGTTGAGCCATGATGTTCCTAAAATATGTTAGTGAAATAACTTGAAAGGTTCACTTTTTTACCTACAAAAAAAATATAGGTTGTTCTAACTTAACTCACTTTGCCGTTTAAACTTGATGCAAACTACGCCAAACTTCGATTATCAACTTCTTTAATTTTCAAGAATGAATTTCATCTAATTTTCTCTTGTGAACCGATTCTATAATTCATTATACCATATGCCACCTTTTTGCACCCTAGTTCGATTGGTTATTTCATATTTTTGCATATTGTTTTTGAGATATGTTAACCATATCGGTTCATGCTAGTGATGACCGATTTCAAACTATGATATGCTTCTCAATTAGATTATCTCATTCCTAATCCTTATATGCATGTGACTCGATCACAAAAGTTTATGTTTTAGTTGGTAATAAGGCCCAATCGAAACTTATTATGAGTTTTTACTAGGTGATAGCATTTGACGAGGTTGTAATTATGTTGAAGAGGCATAGATCTTGCTTTGAAAGCTCAAATTTTCTTTCCGTTGAATTGTTCATGGAGACTATAATTCTGAAATGCTTTTAAGACATTAATCTTTGGTTTGCTTAAGATGGTTCTCTTGCTTCTAATTAATCATTTCATAATTGTTGCAATCGATGCTTAAGTATTGTTTGCTAGACTCTTATTTCATCCATCGGTTCGATGCATCGTTGCACTTGGATTTCAACTAGTACAAGACTAATTGACAAGTTTTGAACTTAATTTAAGTTGCAAACTATTGACTTTGCCTCTAAGCATTCTAAATTATGTGGATCACCATTCAAATTTATGTGAATTCGATTTGGATTATGGTATATCCTCAAGTACCATTATGACCTTTCATTTTCTATCCATCTTTCGTTATCACTTTTTACTGCTCAATTTTCATATTTCATGCTTGCATTTCAATTTGCAAATTAGTCTTGGGATAATTATCGTATTTTGATAAAACTAATAAATATTGTAGTTTTCATGGACTAAATTATAAATTTGAATACTTTTTAAGACAAATCAAATTATTCAAAAAAAAATCATAAGGATATTTAAATGAAAGTATTTTTATTCATAAAGATGTTCAAATCGATTGGTCAACTTCCAAAATATGTCATTCAAATGCTAAGATGCAATGTTCTCAAGGTGATTTTTAGTTAGGGTAGATAATGAAGATGTATTTAAATCATATAGAAGTTATAGAAAGAATTGTTTTTTTTAAAAATTTTTTTATGTTATTGAAGGATAATTATTGAAAGACAAATCTTCTTTAAAAGGTCAAAAGGTATTTTTGACGAAAATTAGGCTTAAAGTTTTGAACTTAATTTAATTTGCAAACTATTGCCTTTGCCTCTAAGTGTTCTAAATTATGTGGATCACCATTTAAATTTACATGAATTCAATTTGGATCATGGTATATCCTCAAGTATCATTACGACCTTTCATTTTCTATCCATCTTTCGTTATCATTTTTTGTGCTCGGCTTTTATATTTTCATGCTTGCATTTCAATTTGGAAATTAGTTTTGGGATAATTGTTGTATTTTGATAAAAATTAATAAATATTGTAATTTTCATATACTAAATTGTAAATTTGAATATTTTTTAAGACAAAGCAAATTATTCAAAAAAAAATCATAAAGATATTTAAATGAAAGTATTTTTATTCATAAAGATGTTCAAATCAATTGGTCAAAGTCCAAAATATGTCATTCAAACGCTAAGATGCAATGTTGTTGATTCTTAGTTTAAGGTAGATAATGAAGATGTATTTGAATCATGTAGAAGTTATAGAAAGAATTTGTTTTTTTATTTTTTTATGTTATTGAAGGATAATTGTCGAAAGACAAATCTTCTTTAAGAGTTCAAAAGGTATTTTTAAAGAAAATTAGGCTTAAATGGGTAGTCTTGCAATGAGATATCTTGATTTTGTTTTGTTTTGTTTTGTTTTTTTGTTTTTTGCTTTTTGTTTTTTTTTTGTTTTTTTGTCTTTTTTACCCCATTGTAGTTGGTGAAAACTTATGATTTGATGTCATAAATAATGATAAATAGCACATCAACAGTTCATGTTTTATTTTTTTGAAAGTAATTTTTTTCTTTTCCTTTGAGATTAAAATTCATTATCTTAAATAAATTATTTTTTATTAGAAAGGGCTTATGAAAGCATGTAACAAAGGTTAGGGCTCAAATTCATAAAAGAAAAGATATATAAAGGCCCAAAAAGTATTTAAAAGAATAAAGACGTAGGATCACTTTATATAGATATCACATAGATTTTATCATTCTAGTCGTTTGATATAAACTTGCATGTCATTTTGATATTCAAGAAGATATTCTTGACTTTATCATTTTGATTGTTGATTTTTCCCTATCTCAACCTTTTTTATGTGTTTGTTTTTGTTGCTTCTTTGAATTTTGAATCTCATCTTAGCTTCATATCTACACTTGGAATGCTTTTTTTTTTTTTTTTTAATTCCATCTTCACTTTATATTTGCATTAGGGAAGTTTCTTTCTTTTTTGGTCACATTCCCCTTATTAATACGTTTTTTTTGATAAATTTCACTTAGAGCTAGCAAAATTCTTTAGAGTTTCATCAACTATTTATGAACTCTACATTTTTCCTGCAGTGTAAAGGGTGTTCTTAATCTAGGGTTTCGTGAAAGAAATGATTAAGGCTCAAAATGGAATGAAAAATGATATAATAATTTACGAGTTATATGAAATATGACATTTCTTCATCTCAAAAACTAATTTGTCTATGCTTGATAGATGTTAATATTTTTGTTTGAAAACATATGAAAGAGAATAAGTGTTAAGTTGAGATCGTGATCTAAAAATGTGCTTAACATTATTATTAAAGACATCAAATTATATAGGCTTTATACTTGACAAAATTTTCTCTCAAAGGTTTATTGAGAAATAAACAAAACAATATTATGGTTTTTCCAACAAAATGAGAGATTGCTCCTTATTTTCTTCTTAAGATATTTATTAGAAAAAGAAAAGATATTTCTAGGTTTAATAAAACTAAAATTTTCTTCTAGCATATGCATGTTATACTTTGAAATTTGATGAGAATTTTAAATATAATGCCAAATAAGCTTTCAATCAAACGTCTCTAGATTTTGCTTCAAATAAAAAAAAATGCAAAAAGAAAGTAGAAACGAATTTGCTTCTTTATTCAAAGATACAATTCAATTCAATCATAGAAAAATATTTTAGGAAATCATAATTTAATATTTGATAAAAATTAAAAGACTTTATTTGTAAACTACTAGCACAAGAACTCCTAAAAACTTTAGCACACTTTTCCACACATATCGTTGTAATCTAATGTGCTTCTTATCCGTCAAACATCCTTTATATTACACTTTTCAATCTCAAAAGCTATCATATATATGCCTTAATATTGGTTACATGATGATTCAAGAGTGGATTGATATTTGTACTCAATGTGCTTTTATCGAAACTTATCTAATCCTATTTGATTACATACAATAACTTTCTCTTGAAAAACATGCAATTGCCAATACTATGTCATTTGA